CCCCAAAACCCCAAAACCCCAAAACCCCAAAACCCCATGATGATATATTTAATTGATATAACCAATATGGAATTATTTGACATCGCCGGCAAGGTCATTGACTTATGCCTTGTTGATGAGGAAAAAAACGATGCGATCAAAAAGTTACGTCTGACCATTGAAAGCTTATCATAAGTAAGGAAATGCCATTTAGACTATTTTAAAGTATTTTAGAGAAACATTCGTTTACTAGAAGAGTCTAAGATCAGTGAAAAATTGAAGGATGAAATAAAACAGGACTTGTTAGAAGCTGAGAGGCTCATTCAGGTCATGAGAAACAACAAATCCATGTTTAAGTTCCTCGACGGGATTTAAAAATTTATTGCCCAAGTCTAATCTTGAGCAAATTAAAGAGATCAATGAGTCCCTCCAGGACAAAATTCAGCTTGTCCTGTTTGAATTTCAGATACAGAATGAAATTGGAGGTAAAAGGCGTCGAAAATGGGATAGCTCGCCTAATTGGGACAAGACTTCTGTTAAATAAGAAGTATGTTCCAGTTATAGGAAGTTCTATTTTCTTAGACCCAACTTTACAAAGGAATGATGATCTCTTCGCCAAGTCTACCTACAACACTGTTGATAATCTGAAGCCGCAGCTTCTGTACACTCTAGAATTCTTGAAATAATGAATCAAATGTGAAATATTTGGATGAAAACAAGGTACTTAAATCCTCATATTCTTTAGAAATATAAAGAAATTCTGAACAAGAAAGTTAACAAGGAACCTGTCAAAGAGATCAGTATTGGTCGTATAGACTTCAAGGATATTTTCCCGAAGGATATTCTGATACGGATATCGAAAGTTCAGTTCAAAATTCAATTTAAGAAGTAGCTTTTCTTAACAACTCTAGGATTGAAGAACCGAAGAAGGAAAAAGATGAGAAACAAGTAAGGAAAGATTCTGAAAATTCAGATGATGATTTGGATGATGTCTTGCAGAAAATCGAAACAATGAGCTTGGAAAAAGGAGAGGAGGCTAAATTAGATCCTAAGAAGACTTCCTCAGATCTTCCAAGAATTTCTATCAACAAAACTTCTGAAAAAGGGAGTCCCCAGAAGGAAAGGAAGATATCCCAAAAGTCGCAGGAAGATTCTGAAGATGAGATATTTCTCACTGCGGTTAATTGCACAACTGAGCTTAGAAAGCGTCAGGAGAATAGTTATGTGTTCACTATACTTGACCAAAGCAGTAATGGGACTTACATCAACGGAAATCTTATTGGTAAAGGTAACTCCAAGGAACTTGTTGATGGGGATAAGATTAGATTCGCTGACACAGATGATTCAGACAAGAAATACTGCTGCTATAAGTTCAAAGTTGTTTAAAAAGTTAATTTTATTTTAATATCTATTCAAATCATGATGTTGGTATTGGGGTTTTGGGGTTTTGGGGTTTTGGGG